CCAGCTGGAGCTTCCAGATGAAACTCGTTCTAATCGAAAACGATTTGTGGAGTTTGATCAATCCAGGAGAGGCTAAGCCTGACCCTAGTGACCTTGTTGCAACAAAACTTTTTTTGTCACGGGAGGGTAAGGCGTTTGCAAAAATTTGCCTCGGGATTAATGATGAACAACAATTGCATGTTCAACATTTGAATATTCCGAAAGAGGTCTGGGAGGAACTGGAAAAATTATACGCACCAAAGGATAGTAGATATCGAGCCGTACAACTAAGAAGGCAGTTATATGGCGAAAGGTTGACTCAGCACAGCAATATGGAAGGGTATATGGGGAAGATAAACTACATTGTAAACGAACTGGCCCAAATTGGCGACAAAATTGATGATGGCGATTTGGCTATGGTTCTTTTGGGTGGATTACCAGAGGATTGGGACACCGTTGTCTCAACCATATGTAACTTGCCTGATTCAGACTTCACGACCGCCACAGTTAAAAGACGGCTGTTGGCAGAAGCAGAAAGGCGTTCGTCTAATCTACCAAAAGATGTGGGTGCCATGGTCGTTAATGCCTCTTCGAAGCCCATTGAAACCGAAAAACAATTTAAAGCAAAGGTTGTTTGTTTCAAATGTGGAGGTAAAGGCCATTATGCAAGGGAATGCAGGAAGAAAGGAAAGAATGAACAAAGACCAAAGAGGTTTGACCAAAACAAAGGCGTAAATATGTCGGCAATGTGCAACACTTTGTTTGGAGCTACCGCCGAGACCTGGATCATAGATTCTGGAGCGACGCACCATATGACTCCCAAGAGAGATTACTTCACATGTCTGAAAGAGTGCACAAGCAATATGAGTTCTATCACTATTGCGAATGGCTCTTCTATAGAAGCATGTGGTATCGGTACTGTCAGTGCCAATATTGTTGGACACAAGGGAGATGCAAGCAATATGATTGCCCAGAACACCTTGTATGTTCCAGATTTGCGTCACAGTGTTCTGTCAGTACTCCAAATGATAGAAAACGGTAGAAAAGTTGTCTTCAACAGGAGTGGTTGCTACATTATGGACATGAAAGGTAAACTCTTGATAGAGGGAAAGAAGTTGGGTAGACTTTACTACGTCCAGACTACTCCATCCTCTCCGATAGATCAGAATGATCGTGTTTCTCTTGCATCTGAATGCAAGGAAGAGCTTACACTGGAACTTTGGCACAAAAGGCTGATGCATGTAAATGCATATACGATAGCAAAGATGGCCAAGAACCAAAGCGTAAGAGGACTTGATTGCAGCCCGGCAAAGCCAGAAAAGTGCGAAGACTGCAGCCCGGCAAAGCCAGAAAAGTGCGAAGACTGCTTGATCGGCAAGTCTTACCGTCTGCCATTCCTTCAACACTCACACAAGGAGGAAAAAGAAATCATGCCATTGGACTTGGTGCATGCGGATTTGATGGGTCCACTCGACGTATTGAGCTGGGGAGGAGCCAAGTACGTCTTAACCATCATTGATGAATCTACGAGATATACAAGTGTATTTTTCCTGAAAAACAAAGGCGAAACCCTTGGAAAAGTCAAAGAGTGGATTCAAGAATCTGAGAAACAAACCAGCCGGAAACTAAAACGAATACGTACGGATAATGGCTTGGAATTTTGTTCCAAAGAATGGGACACTTTCTGCACGAGCGTCGGAATAGTTCATGAACGCACTATGACGTATACACCTCAACAGAATGGTGTGGCAGAAAGAATGAATAGGACACTCCTAGATCTTGTCAGGAGCACTTTATCTGGAAGTGGTCTGCCAAAGGCTTCCTGGGCGGAGCTGACTTACACCGCAGCCTATGTCAGAAACAGAGTTCTCAACAATCACAATGGTGAAAGCACGCCATCTGAACTGTGGACAGGGAACAAGCCTAGTCTTAAACACCTAAGAGCTATTGGCTGTCAAGTATTTGTCCATATTCCAAGACAAGTCCGTAAATCCAAACTCGAAAGGAGAGCTATCAAAGGTAACCTTGTTGGATATGCACTCAGAGGACGTGGCTACAGAGTGTGGATTCCTGAGATGAAGAAAGTGGTGGAATCTCGGGACTGTGTCTTCAAAGAGAGTGATGTATCGAGGAACGACAGCAACCGGGAGGTGCTTCCATCAGTTGAACACTACAGCTATGGGACTCAACGGGAGATTGAAGAGAATCCAGTGTCTTTATTAGATCAAGAAGACGTGACACCTACAGAAGAGGACAGCCATAATGAAGATACTGTGAAGCCTTCTCCTACTCGATCTCATCCAATGATCCTAAGGAACCAGAGAAATGCTCAGAACTCAACTGAACTACTCAGTACCGAAGTAAATAAGTGGAAGAAACCTAGCGGACATTTTGACCAAGCCACTGGGGAGAAACCTGCACGAACTTCATCGTTCGAGACTCTTAAGCGGCGAAGTGATCCATGAATAGGAGGTCACTTCGAGGGAGGAGTTTGCTGGATCATGGCAGCGACGGTTGGCTCCGGCAACACTGAGCTGACGTCACACTTCCTGTTGATGCAACCCCTGCAAGCGGCGTCTCGCCATCGCTGTCTTGTTTTCTTTCTTTTCCCTGTGTTTACTTTTTAATCTATATATATTCCCTTTACCTTATAGTTAATTAAAGTATAATTAACGTCGAGCGCTGTGTGTAATCAATTGGAATACAACAGTTTTCTTACGATATATTTAAAGCTGATATTTTAATCAATAATACACAATGTATTTCTTTACAAAAAGGAGAAATATTTCTAACATAAATTAAACTTTATTTTTTAGCATTCAACCCGTAAGCTCGTGGGTAAGCCTCGTTGAGTGTCGCTCGCGCATGCGCCTCTGATACACCTGTATAAATTAATGTATTTGATAGTTCAGCCGTTCTAGACGCGGGGTAAAAAGTATCCTTAGTCCGTCTGCTGGTTCTAAGCTACCTCCCCGCCAATTTTCATCTAAATCGGTTCAGCCATTCTTGAGTTATAAATAGTCTAACAATTTTCACGACTTTCTTTTATATATATATATATCGGACACACGATATCCCAGCTTGAGATACTTGCGCTTAAATACATTTTATCAACCTATATATAATTCATTTCATATACGATTCAATCAATAACCGGACTAAACCGGACTTTCACTTCCAAGAATGAAGGAGGGGGGCGTATGGACCAGTCAACAAGGAAGAAGCTCAGCTGACTGTCAGAAGTGAAGTCATTCTACCCTGTTGTTTACGGCGACTATTAAATGATTCTCCCTGACTGTTACTTGCTTTGCTCTCTATGAATACCCCAAGGTAAATAAATAAGAGTCTAACAGAGATCCTTGCCGATCCCTAGTGCTTATCTGGACTGTCCCTGATAGCTGTGGCAACGACGCAACAAATGGTGTTAGAAGTTGGATCTCTCTTCGTGAATACAATTCTGGATACCAATGAAACCAGAAAGAGACGGTCGAGAAATTAGATCTCGTTCAAGCTTCTCTCTAAGCAATGAAAAGATTCATCGAAATCATAAAGTGTTGAATGAAAAGGTCGACCGATGGCAGAACACCATGCTTGGCAATATGGAGAACGTATTAGGGAAGATAGATGGTGTGATAGATCTAACTAAAAATGGTGGCAGGGAGAAGGAAATGATCCAGACCGGTTGTGTAGGGGAGGAGAGGGAACTGATCGCTCCTGACAACGGCTGTTGCACGAGTACTTTGAATCAAGGCAGGCGGACAGAGAAAGAGTGCCCTCCAGATGATGTGTTGTGTGAAAATTTCATCCTCGGAATCCCATATGAATATCGCAATATCATCGGCGATCATGGTGAGCTGCAATACAACGGCATGATAGACCGTTGAGGCGTGGTCAGATTGTCTGGGACTACAGAGAAAATACAAATTGGCGTGACGGAACTGGGCGTTTCGTGGAAGTGAGACTAGACTGGATGGTCATAGCACAGTTGAAGCCAGTGGAGCCGGCGACATGACTTGAAAGGACGACTAATTGGAGGCTCCATGTAACTCCGACGACAGTCTGTGCCCAGGAAGTTCCATGCAATGTGTCAGCGCCGCCGAGGTCTGAACTCCAGGCCGAATAATTAAGAGACAGGATTTTTCTCGTCTTCCGACAAGGTGCAAGGCAAACAGCCATCGCCTAGAGATAGTTCAGCTGTACCACGCAGCCCGATGCCTCCAACAGTTAAGAGTCCATATTCCAGTGCAAGATTGGCACGAAATAAGCGCTTAGAAGGAGAAAACTTTTAGAGAAAATGGAAGACCGACAGAGGACCTAATCCAGAAAAGAATCTGCCTTGACAATCTTAGGGAGCCTGACATAGATGAATAGGTGCTGAACAGGTATAAGATGAAGAGCCTAAGTCGGGAAGGGACTTCCACAGTAAAAAAAGACGACTTAAGGCGCCGCTGCAAACAGAAACGACGAGGTCACAATATAAAAGTTACCAATAATAGAGCAACGCCGAAGGTGGTTCCAAGATGTGTGCAAGAAAGATACCAAGCCACAGCCGAAACCATCGAAATGACTGAACTATTGTCGCCACCATGTGGAGAACCACCGCCTTGTGATAGACCGGTCGCTCGATAGCAAGGCATCGACATTTACTGAAAGTGTAAAGAGGGCCGGAAATGGTACAACAACAAGGTGTGATGCTAATCCCGTCGTTACGTTTTAGAACTGCAGACAATCCTCATGTTTTCCAAGACATTCAATAGTTTGAAGGTCTTCCTGAAAACAGGAACGGAGAATTGCCCTGTTTGGGGCAAACAGCTTTTTTTTAATAGAATAGTGTTGTTACGGCGATGAAAGAAAGAAAGCTTCGACAAACACCGTGGTGGTAAGGAATTTGAGTTCGGCGACATGTATTCTCCCCCCCTCCCAAAAAGAGCTGAGGGTACATATATATTATTTACAATTTCAAATCAAATTTTATTGAAGATTTCAAAAATATTATTATCTAAAAAAAAATAATAATAAATTGCATCGTCCGGAAATCGAACTGGGGCCGACCGCGTGGCAGGCGAGAATTCTAACCCCTGAACCACCGATGTTTGAAAATAAAATTCAAATTTAGGTAAAAAGGTGAAGAATTGGTCACATGACCTAGATAAGGAGTGGTAAGAGATAGTGACCGCTGGTCAACTGAGGTAGGACATGGTTCCCCGATATCTGAATACGTGACTTGAGTCCAACACTTCAAACCTACGTCACTGCCAGGTACACTCTCTAGTAGACGGTAGGGCCTATTTGGCTGTTAATTTCTTCTAGCATGTGGCTCAGATAAGGTAAAAATAAGGTATTTGGAGTCATATACACTTCAGGATAACATGGGTTACTCCTATTATGGATTAAGCTGGTTGGGAAAAAAAGCTTTCATACTTTTAATAAACTGGTAAAATAAAACCTATTCGACAGAAATTAATCGACTTTAATAAAATTTCAGTGTTTTTCCCACTTTCACAGTTCACAATGAACGTAAGTAATAGAATTAAACATAAAGGAAGTTTGAGCAACATCTATCTATATACTAGCCGAATGACCCGGGCAACGCCCAGGTTTTACCCGATTAAATGTTTTTATTCAAATACTATTCGTAAGAATTATAAATTGGCGCCCTGGATGTCACCCTTGTGAAACGTCCCGCTCCAAACTTTGTGTGTTTTTTTAAATAAAAAATAAAAATATAAATTTTCACAACGATATTTGAAAATTATATTATTTTGATTTTCAAATACTATTCGTTACATTTATAAATTTGCGCCGTGAATATCACCTTTGTGAAACGTCCTGCTCCGAACTTTGTGTCTTTCATATTTTTCACTATGACCTGTTAAAACACGTTTTACCTGTACATTAGGTCAGCTAATATTACCTCCCATCTTCATTGCTAGAGGCCCTGCTTGCGATTGAAAGGGAAAATTTGCAAATAACTCGAAGAGTTACTCTATATACTGTTGAAATTACAGTCTGATTAGTTACGTATTGTGGACGTAAATTGCCGACGAACATACATACGTACACTGTATTTTATATATATACTAGCGGGTGTACCCGGCTCCGCCCGGGTTTTATTCGAGGGAATGTTTGTAGTCTAGTATGTTGATATAATAAATCTATCTGAATATTAGGAAAGGTCAGGTAATTTTTTTGTAGGGTGATGCTCTGAAAAAGAACGCTATACCACTTTATCACTAAACAAATTGGCGAGTCAAAAATAAGCAACCTAAACAATCCATTAGCTTTGCAAGATAAGAAAAGAAATAGAGAAATGCATGCAAAATTCTCAACACAAATCAAAATCTTTAATCCTCAGAAGTAATGTATATTAGGTAGGATGAGGTTTATTTTGTTTCTATTACATTACATCATCTTTAAATCTCAAAGCAGAGCAAAACTGGCATACCCGAGACATTTGGCCTATATCGACAGATGAATCAGCTTTATAATAAATATAGGCATTATACTGCAAACCTGAAAACGGCTTATGAGTCCAAAGCTGAATACGCTGAACAGGAACTTGCATAGTTTGTGTAGCTGCGACGCGGGCTTCAGAATACCTAAGACGGCGAAGCGCACGACGCGTCTCACTTTGAAGTGGTGTCTCAATAGCTCTAGCATTCCTATATCTCCTGGAAGCAGCCGTATTCCTACCAAGTAAACGTCGGCTGTGGCGAGGCATATTCTGAAAAAAAAATTAGATTGAGATTAATAACAAAATCTTCAAAACCAGCAATTTCTAAACAAAGCATAAAAATTTCCTGTCTTTTTGAGGTAAAAATCAAAATTTTTAAATTTTTTATTCAAAATAACCTTCAGATATGTTAAAAAGATTTTAAAAAACTAAAATCATAATATTATATTACCAAAATATTAATGTACAAAACCAGTTATCATTAAAAAGCTTCAAAAATAGACCAACCGCTGGATACGGCAATAAAAAAGCATGCTTTTTTTTAGGTAAAAAATAGAAATAATTTTCTAAAATACAAAATACAAGCCCTATATGTTAAAAAAACTATAAATAATCTAAATATAAAATATTTAATCAAATAAATTGAAATATCTTTTAAAAAATTTTGAAAAAGGACTTCAAAAAGACAAATAAATGAATCCGTAAAAGAAATCCCTTGCTTATTTAAAAATATAAATAACCTATTTTTTAGATACAACCCATATATGTAGAAAATATAATAAATAAACTGTATTTAAAAGATCAAAGCAATAATTAAAAAATTCCATAAGAAAATTTAAAAAAGGACCTCAAAATGACCCATAATTGAACACAATGAAATTGCTTGCTCTTTTTTGCGATTAATAATAAAAACAAATATTTTAAAAAACACAACACCTATATGTTATAAATACCACAAATAATTTGTGTTTGAAAGATCTAAATAATTAAATAAAAATTTCTTAAGAAATATTTGAGAAGGGCCTCATAATGACAATCACATAAACATATCAATAAAATATCTTGCATCTTAGTGAAAAAAAAATAGAAATAACCCAAAATTTGTTTACAAAACAACCCATATATGTGGAAAACACCATAAATAATCTACTTTTAAAATATCTAAGCAATTAATTAAAATTTTGTTAAGGTCCTCAAAAAAGACATAAAATTGAGCACATTAATGAAATTTCAAGCTTTTTGGCGAAAAAAAAAAAAGAAATAACCCAAATTATTTTTACAAAACAACCCATATAAGTGGAAAACACCATAAATAATCTGTTATTAAAATATCTAAACAATTAATTAAAAATGTTGTTAAGGTCCTCAAAAAAGACATAAAATTGAGCACATTAATGAAATTTTAATCTTTTTTTGTAAAAAAATAATATAAATAACCTTAGTCTTATAAAAATACTAACCACGTAAGTTAGAAATAGCATATATAATCTGTATATAAAATAAAAAAGAAATAAATTAAAATTAGCCTAAAAATTTATCTAAAATATAAAATTGATCTCATCAAGTAAGGCTTCAACTTTTTTTGGTATAAAATATGAAAACTATAAAATAAAAGTATCTTACCATGTATACAAGTTATTAAAATATATATAAAAAAGATTAAAACTAATTTTCCAAGAAGCGCAAAAGTGTAAACACTTTAACTCTGTTGAATTTTTTTGTATTTTATCGATAACAGCAAAGTTATGTATGTTAAAGTTAGGAAAAATATTTTGATGTTAAGCAAAACCTGCTCCATCTCGTTTTACATAAATGTTGAAAATTTGGTCGAAATTGATGCATTGTATCGAAAGTTTTTAGTGATGTCCACTTATGAAATTTCCATTTTATTAATATAGATATAGGGATTAGAAACCATTTAGCGCAATTTAGATTTTTTTCATATAAACAAACCCCTTTCACTTCTTACTTGGATGAAAATATTATGAAGAGCCTTTGGCTCATCAATAATGAATCATCCCAGCGGTTTCACCAGTTTATTCTACCAACGCTATACTATTGTAACGGACTGTTTTGCTTTTATATATAAATGTGCACTACAAACTTTAGAATAATTATTTTTAAAGGGCGGGTTTCGAATAAATATAGGAATGAATTTTAAGAATAGTGAAACACTATATAGAGTTAATTTATTGACAAAAATAGGCAAATGTTCTTTACAAGTAATCCTTAACCACGCGCGCGATGAATCTATATAGGGGAATATATTGACAACAATGGACAAATGTTCTTTCGAAGTAATCCTTGACCACGATGAATCTATATAGAGTAGATTGATTGACAAAAATGGACAAGTGTTCTCTCGAAGTATTCCTTGACCACAATGAATCTATATAGAGGTAATTATTGACAACAATGTACAAGTGTTCTCTCGAAGTAATTCTTGACCACACAATAAATATATATAGAGTAAATTTATTGAAAAGAATGGACAAGTATACTCTAGAAGTAATCCTTGACCACAATGAATCTATATGGAGTAAATTTTATAAAAAAAACCAATGGACAAGTGTTCTATCTAAGTAAGCCTTGACCACGATGAATCTATATAGGGGAAAATTATCGACAAAATGGGCAAGTGTTCTTTTCAAGTAATCTTCGACCACGATGAGTCTATAGAGTGGAAATTTGTGGACAAAATAGGAAAGTATTCTCTCCAAGTAATCCTTGACCACGTTTAATATATTTAGATTAAATTTATTGAAAACAATGGGGAGATGTTCTTTTCAAGTAATCCTTGATCACGCTGAATATATATAGAGCAATTAATTACCAACAATGGACAAGTGTACTCTCGAAGTAATCCTTCACCACAATGAATCTATAAAAGTAAATTTATTGACAACAATGGACAAGTGTTCTCTCTAAGTAATCCTTGACCACAATGAATCTATATGAAGTAAATATATTAAAAACAATGGACAAGTGTTCTCTCTAAGTAATCCTTGACCACGGTGAATCTATATAGAGGGAAATTATTGACAACAATGGGCAAGTGTTCTCTCCAAGTAATCCTTGACCACAATGAATCTATATGGAGTAAATTTATTAAAAACAATGGACAAGTGTTTTCTCTAAGTAATCCTTGACCACGATGAATCTATATAGAGGGGAATTATTGACAACGATGGGCAAGTGTTCTCTAGAAGTAATCCTTGACCACAATGAATCTACTGATATATAGATTGAATTTATTGAAAACAATGGACAAATGTTCTTTTCAAGTAATCCTTGACCACGATGCACATATATAGAGTAAATATATTGACAACAATGGGAAAATGTTTTTACCAAGTTATCTTTGACCACGATGAATTTATATGGATGATATTTATTGACAACAATGGGCAAGTGTTCTCTCCAAGTAATCATTGACCACGCGCGATTAATCTATATAGAGGAATATATTGACATCAATGGACAAGTGTTCTCTCGAAATATTCCTTGACCACAATGAATCTATATAGAGGAAATTATTACAACAATGTACAAGTGTTATCTCGAAGTAATTCTTGACCACAATTAATCGATATAAAGGGATATTATTGACAACAATAGGCATGTGTTCTCTCGAAGTAA